CGGGACCGGGACCGGGACTAAAAAAAGTGATTTTGCAGTTCCCTAATACCCACACCCACACCCTTACGAAGATATTCATTCAGTTAAATTGTTAATCGAATTTATTGGTCAAGAAATAAATCAACGGCCAAGAATACTTGCAGAATTAATAGAAGATAGTCATTTCAAAGAAATAGTTCCATTTTTAAAAATGGGTATTTTCTTCTCTGATTCACTCAATCGGGAGGATTATAATAGAACAAATGCCTGTCTACTTGGTCAATTTTTTACGATTAGTGTTTATCGGAACAAATTGATTGAATTTTTTACAAGTGACATCGAACCATTTCCAATTAGTGATACGTTAGTGAGTCGAATTCGACAAACTCGTGATAAAGAATCACTCAAAGACGTTGAACTTAAAAAGATACGTGATCTAATACAAAAACAAGCACGAATTTTCGAAGAGTTGAGGATGGCTCGACGCAACAATAAACGAGATACGACAGAAATCATCGATCAACTCATGGCTACCAATTTACGTATGTGTGAAGAGGACGCTTGCTTACGAGCACATCATCAATAATCTGATTCATGTTTGATTTCATAACTAATATATTGAGAAAAGCAGATTGAATGATAAAGAAAACCCATTGCACTATTAAATTGATCGAATGTAGGATTATTATCTATTCTATATGTTTATCACTGCACGATCAGTTATTGACATTGAGGTTATAGTGGCAACCGGTAACGATAAACTATTGCTCAAGATCGTTCGAGTCCTGTATAGAAGATTCTTTGCTGGGCGATAGACACAATTTTTACTCTAGCGATCGGTATGACTTCTTTTTATTTTTTACTTTTTTTGCAAAAAATTGAGCATAAAAGTGTTGTTTTTATTCACAATTGGAACACTTCTAATGATGTCAAGCACTGTTTGTGTAAGGGAAGTGTGTGCGTGGATGTGAGTATTGATGTGGATGTGATCCGATACATTTTCAACAGACAGCATGTCAATATAAGATTCTATAAAATCCATTCAAAAGTTTGATACGCAGTTTACTTTAGCAACAAAAATAACCTTCTCAAGACTATTTAAGCATAGAATTTAAAAGTAAAGATTAGTAGACAATTATTCAGTAAGGATGACTTCAATATTTACTCTTACACTTTTGATAGTAAAATTAATCCTTCTTTAGTTTGGTCAACAACAAATTTGTCAAACGCATCAATATACAGAATGGAGAAAGTATTAGTCAGTTAAGATAAAGTGATCAACCTTCAAGATGGAGCATATTAGAAGTCCTGCGCATCATATAAAATCTCTCGAGCTTGTTGATACTGCCGGAAAATCATATAGAATTTTCTGCTAGCACATGTGTTACTAAGAACGAAACCAGAACCAAAAAATTTTTCTAACCGAAACCGACAACAAACTTTTTGTGGAACTCACATATATTTTTGAAGAAAATAGTGAGTGTAAGTTTTAAGTCGAAGTTTTCGCGACTCCCTCTTCTCCCTCCCCATTACAAACACTTGATAACGCAAGCTTCCATTACAGACAATTCCCAATTACAAACTTTAGCAAGTAGATTAATATATATAATATTGCATAAATCTACTATAGATATCATGGATATGTACAACAGACTTATTTGTCATTTAATTCAATGCTTATAATAATAAAAATGTTAAAATGAGAAGAACGAATATTAAGAAAAAAGAAAAATAATGAGCGAAAAGCAACAATGCAAATAAAAAGTAGGACGCTTGTAGAGAAAATAAAAAATTTCTGTTCGAAATGCAGAAATTAGAGAGGTGCTTATTCTTATGTTCGATTATCCTGCAAAGCAACTATAGTCTATAATAGATTTTTCACTTTACATATTTTGTATTAGTGTGATGAGGCTAGAGAGCATATGTGAGTTCCGCATATCAGCTCAAAAGGAGCTGCGCTAACAAGCTTTTTGGACCGGGACCGAAACAAATACTGTCCCACTCATGCCTATGGTAGGATGTGAGTCGGTGTCAATCAGTGTCACCGCGGATCCACTTCCAGGTCTGCCTCGACAGTTGCTACTCTAAAATTAACAGTAAATTATGTCCATATGTTTGTACGATCAGCGCCAAAATGACCTGAGAAATATAATTCTTATTTTCTCATTTGAATAGTTTTCTTTGTAGTTAGTCCACGTATGCTGATTTGAATATAGACGATAGTTCTATAAATCATGAAATATCAACATCTTTTGATCGCACAAAACTTCTATTTCAGTTTTGGTCAATGATTTTCAGAGTTATGAAAATCAAAATCCACAAAAAATGCTTTACATATTTATAACAATCATTAACTATACGTTTTATTTCTGTTTTTTTTTTGCATTTTAGATTGAGTATTTCTATAGTTTTCTTTGTTCTATTCAGCACATCGCGACATTTGGGCATTTTAGCTTAGTAATTAACTGCATATAATTAGGACTAATGAATTGAATATTAAATCATACAATTTATGTACCATATATCAATGCATAGCTTGATCCATCTTGAATCAGGAATGAGAACGAAATAAATACATTAATGAAGATTCTCTGATAATGCACATAGCTCAAGTACAAGTCATTTTCTATTATATTTTCAAATATCTACTTACCCACACCCAGCTCCACTAAAATTGGTCGTTGCTGTGACTAATTTTTCTTTAATATTCGACTGTAACAAATTTGATGGAATTGCATTGAGGATACGTTTACGTGCAGCAAAAGATGGTCGTCCTACAAAGAATTTACCTGACATTCGTCTAAGGTAAGCTTCATCCATCATATGAAGACGATTTGTTGCAGAAAAAAAACATGAGATTTGGTACATCTATAATTCCTTCAAGTACTGATAGTAAAACACTAATTTGACTACTTTGCCTTCACTTGAATCTTCATCACGACGTGGAGCAAGTGAATCAATTTCATCAATACAGACACAGCACATTAAATGAGGTAAATAACGATCACGTAAACATAAATCTAATATAACAGCTTCTGATTGACCAACAAGTGGTCGTTCCAATTCACCAGCAGCCAAAGAAAGTCTTAGCATAGCAATACCAACTTTTTTAGCCAATTGAGCGTGTGAATGTGGTTGTTTAATGAATACTGCACCCACACCCTAGTTACAACTGTCACTTCATAGTTGACATGAAATATATGATAAATGTTAACAGTCGTTTTTATCAAAACCATGCAGATCGTTAAACATGTTTTATTATTTGCTACAAAATGCGTTAAAACTAGAGCTTTTAACAAATATAAACCTTAAAACGTGCAAGATGTGTTCAAAATCTATTTGTGGTAAAACTATGATTAACGCCTTATTGGTGACTAATCGAACCTTTTGTAAATTTTACATCTTGACATTCTCAAACGACATTTTAATCGTTACCTTATTATTTTTCTTAACAAAATGTCAAACAAGTTAAAATAGAATCTTTCCAAAATAAAAACTTGTATTGGTGATGGTTGTCAAAATTCTTTTACAATTTTATCAATAATTTATTCGTTAACTGTGGCTAAATTCATGATTAATATTTTTCTCTAGTATTGTGTTCAGCTGTTCATACTTAAAGGACGAATGAGGAAAAGCAAGCTATCTGATAATGTTGAACAAGTTAGCATTAGGGTCAATGTCTCAAACTATTCACTGGACAACATACAATGTGGGACATGCACTACAGCAGGTCTATGATTGTAGTATGTTGCTAGTGCGTGATGTATGATGCTAAAACACTTCGGCATAGAAACTCTGTATCAGACCAATCATCTGTTCAGAGTGAAAGCTGACAATTAGTAAGAAATGAGTGATCACTCTTCAGAAGCTTGTCAATTGTAAGAAAACTTTTGTTATTCATGGCATTGGAATTGTATATGGTAGTATAAAATTTTCAATTTTTGAACTTGTGTCAATGTCAATTTAAAAAGAATGTCTTGTTTATCGTCGCATTTTTTACATCAAAAAGTGAGCCTAATTAGAGTTCTTCGAAGTTTTATTATGGACAGAAATAAACTTATTAACTTATGAATATGGAGTGTTACATTCATTCAACGACATGAATAGTTTATATATTCATCTTTGAAATATTGAAAGTGTTCATTGGGATCATTCTAACAGTTGAAGTGAATGGTGTAACTTGATTGTTAGAATGAAGCCGAAACAACTTCCTTATAATATTCATCAGTTCTTTTCTGTATACGCTAGCCGATAGAAAGTACAAGATGACGGATGCAGTATATGACAAACTGTAGATAAGCTTAGTTAGTTGAAAAGCACAGTAATATTCGATAGGATTTAAGTATTGAACAGGCAAAAAACCCAAAATATAAATTGCAGCTAATGGTGTAGACAATAAAATATGGCAACCCACTTGAGCAAGAAGCATGCGAGCAAGTTGATGTTCAGTGCGACGAGATCGTGAAGATGTAGTAGGTAGAGCACGAAGTGCCTTTGTATTGTATATGGTCAGAATACCGAAGATTGACATCAGAAATGGAGGGATAATACTTAGAAGAACTGCTTGTATAATCGGATATACACGATTATAAAGTGTTGTTGGTAACATACGACATGGAATTGCTTGACCTGGTTGTACATCGAGCAGTACCAAAGAGCTAATGAAGAAAAGTGCGATGAAGGTGAAAACGGATAAAATAGACCATCGAGCAACAATCAAATTGCTGAGATTTCGTCGTTGAGCGTTTGATGAACTGCCACAATATCGGTCGATTGAAGCTAATACAATAAAATAAGGCGACACTATGACAGATACTTGTTGAATATAAAGGATAAATTTACACCATAATCGAGAATTGCTAGTTGGATCTAATTGATAACCAAGGGCCAAAACATTAAATGTGACAACAAAGATTGAGAAGAACAGGTTATTACTAGTAAATGCAAGAAAATAACGAGAGCATGGATGATTGTACAGTCCAGATTTTCTGAGTACAATTATATTGAGCAAATTTCCGACGATTCCGATTACCATAAGTGGAGGTAAGATTACTCGCATCAGTAGAGCGACGAGCTGAATGCGTGGGTCCATCATTTAGTCTTTTCTATTGAGTGAATCTTAGAAATATGAAATGTTTCTTATTACTAGATTTTTCTTAACTTCATATGTTTTTGATTATCAAATCTGTTCGCAAAGCCAACGTACAAATATTTTCCCTATGAAAAAAGGTTATTCTCGTTCAGTCATTGAAAGCGATAGCATTACATGAAGTGCTCATAGAATTTCATAAGAATCTTATGATTCCTGTCTGACATGCTAATATTTTATAATCCTACGATCAGTAAACTCTCTTATAAGGTTAAATTTAGGACTTGAATCCTTGGAGAATCAATCACCAGAGATTATCTCATCATTGAGACTCATTCTGGTGGATAACCTATGTTATTGGTATATAAAAGAGTGGTCTGTTGAATTTGATCTATGGTCAAGGGCTGATCTGATAATAATAGCTATCGATCGATTTAGGATTTCTTCTAATAAAACAAGTTCTGATTTTTGTAATATGATTTGCAAATCAATACTTAAAAAATTGATAAAGACGTGTATTAGTACTAATGGGAATCTCACTGATTATTGGAGTCACTCTCTCCTTAAACATCAGCCCATGTTGTGACATTTGAAATATGAAATAATATTCCTTGTGATTTCTTTTAGTTATCGTGCGCAATAAAGATCCTTACATTTTCAAGACAAAATCCTAGTACAAAAACGAAAAAATCAGTCTTTTGCTCTTTACGAACAAATGTCTCTTCGTGCAATCGCTCTTTATGCTAGAGTAACTGAAAGGAGTGCAAGTCAAGTCTAACTTGATTTGACTTGTTCAGCTTTGTACAAGAGCATATATGAGAATGCATTTTGTGATGAAATAGTCACTCTCTCAGTATTTCAATTTAGAAAAATACAACAATTTCTTGTCACTTAAATATTTACAGACACAAAATATTCAGAACCTGATTTGGTTGTGGAGTTTCAAAAATTTGCTTCTGAGTTTCACTGGCTAAATATTTTTTAATAATAAAAAGCTGTTGTGTTACAATGTTCAAAGACTAGTAGAGCGAACATTTCACTATATAATAGAGTCCTGCGCGGGTTTGATTTTTCGAACCCGCACCCGACCCGAGGTCTTTTAGTCGTACCCGTGCCCGACCCGACCCGACCCGACAAGGTTCAACCCGAGCCCGATCCGACCCGAGGATAGTTGAACCCGAGCCCGACCCGACCCGAGGATAGTTGAATCCGAGCCCGACCCGACCCGAGAGATTTAAATTCGTTTATTTTATAAAGATACATCAGTTTATTGCAATATTAAGCATAAAAAATGATAGAAGCTTTATAGCAATAAAAAACACATAGATAATCATGATTGCAAAAAAAACCATCACAACTTAGTATGATGACATTTCCATTCAAATACATACATTTCAAACAGTTAAGATCGATAATGATCATAAAAATAAGTATCGTACAAATATCAATAATATATCTTCAATTTATACAAAACAATTGAAAAATTTCGTAAAAAAATAAGAGAGTCAAGTGATTCTGGTGACAATTGTTGACGTCGAACTTCAAGAATCCGACCTGTTTTACTGAATATTCTTTCAGATACAGCAGAACCTGCAGGTACTGCTAAGAGAGAACATGCCAATAATGATAACCTAAGGAGAATCACATTTAAATTAATTTATTGAATTTTTCTTGTGCATTTAAGGAGAATGATATAGTAATCAAGAAACTCACTTTTTGTATATGATAGAGTGTTTTTGCCACCGTTGTAAAAGTGATGCTCCTTTTGGGTATGATATTTTCGCTTTAATATAATCATCTACTTTATCCATCGGCCTCTTATCATCATCGTCTGATGATGAGTCTACAAATGCATTAAAAGACTTGAGAACATCGTGTACAGTGTCTATTTTAATACGTTTTTGATGTGTTGAGGAATTGTTGTTGGTACCTGTCTCTGTTGTTTCTTCATCGACTTGTTGATCTATACCTAGAGTCTTTAAAAGTATTCGTATATTTTTAATAACAGCATTACGTTCTGATTTCATTAGACTCTGAGAATCATTGACCAATAGAATTCAGTTTTATTATTCTGTGAGTTTAAGACGAACGAAAATAGAGGGCAGAAGCATACATACGCAAAAAAATCTGACCCGATAAAAACCCGACATTTTTTAATTTCAAACCCACACCCGACCCGACCCGACGGCTGACAGACCCGTACCCGACCCGACCCGATAAGATTGAACCCGAGCCCGCCCGCACCCGACAAGATTGAACCCGAACCCGCCCGCACCCGCGGGTCGGCTCGGGTGCGGGTCGGGTCGGGTCGGGTTGCAGTACTCTACTATATAATACATGGTTAAATACTACTCTCGCTTTAAGGAAGAATTATATGGTGCTACATTTTTTCCATCAAAATCAGAAAAGCTTTGTTGACTGTTAAAGAACTCTATTCATGTAAGTCATAAACAGGTAATTTTTGTCTAGTTTTTTTTATTTCTAAACAAGAATTACTTCTTAATTAAAGTCGTTTTTTGAAAAATGAATATACTCATTTGTCAAACACACAATCATGTTGCCAGTCTTTCTAAATAATGGATGCAATTAGTTGATAATGTGATCTATTTTACGCATTATAATTCATTAAAAATCTCATACAATATAAGATATTGACGTGTTCATGTTTTGCGCTGAATTAAAATGAGCAGTGCATTATAAAGCATTATACAGATTGCAAATTCACGGACTACCCTCTATTATCAATTTAATGCATTCCAATGCATAGAAAATTTCATGCGTTTCAATCATTTTAAATTCTCATCGAAGTCAATGCCCTTCAATGAATTAGCTTTATGGTCACTTAAAACAACGGCGATGCATTTCATTTTATTTACATACCATTTAACTTTTAAATCGTTTTTTTTTCTAATGCATTTTTAAAAACTGATTAGAAATAAATTGTAAATAACTGCAATCAATCAAATGATCTAGCACTGATGGATCAGTGTCATATTAAGTTTTGAGAAAACAAAAAAAATATCGAATATATGTTTGAAGATTGGAAACAAATTTGATAGCATTCCTTCGAAATCAAAGGAAAAAACACAAAGAATAATTTTAGAAAAAATCGATGTGGGTGGGTGTGGAGGTGGATGTGGATGCGCGTATTTATTTGCATGAATGAATACTGACACACCCACACACATACACCCATCCATTCTGCACCTGACATGCTCACGATTAGAGATCTTTATTAATAATTTTTAGACAAAACAGAAAGCAAATAATAGTTTAAATAGAGTTTATAAAGAACGGCGGCGGCTGTTCTACAAAACTGTCCTATCTGAAGCTTAGCTAGGTAATTTTCAAATGATCGCGATCTGTAGACCAATGGGTCCCTTATTTTTGTTTATTTTTCTTTGATATAATTTTTTCTAGATTTGTTTAGCCAAGGTGATTCAGTACCACGTAGCTGAAGACGTCTTTGATAATATTTAGTAAAAATATAATTGAACCATTCGACGAATTCATCTTATAATTCCCATGTCGATAGGACACGCTACCGACACATGTGTCGACACAATGACACGATGGACGTACATGTAACGACACGTGTTGACACAGTGAATTTTTTGTACGTCATGTGTTGACACATGTGTCGGTAACGTGTCTTGGACAACGAAGGATATATCATGGACTATAATACAGGAAAGAAAAAAAACGATTGTATATATAGGATTAAGTTGGGTATTTTTTTTAAAATTAAATTATTATCATTTTTTTAACTTCTAAATTAATTTATCTATTTTTCTAATTTAAAAAGAAAAATTATGCATTACTATCGATATTTTAAATCAAATTATTTTTTTTTTCAGACCTTTTTATTAATTTATTATCTATTTTTGTAAATTTTTAACCTGATTTATTGTCTTTTTTTTAGATTTTTTAAAATAAAATGTTATACACCAGTATGAATTTTTTAAATGAAATTATTAGTTTTTCTGATCTTTTTATTAATGCATTATCTATTGTTATACATGTTTTAAATTGATTAATTATCTTATTTTTTTAAAGTTTTTTCAGTTATATTATTTATTTATTTTTGTACCTTTTCAAACTAATTTTTTTATGTATTTTTAGACTTGAAAATAAATTAGGGACTATTTTGTCACATGTTCTAAACGAAATTATTATTTCTCTTTTAGATGAATTATTGTTTTATTTTGTTGTAGATTAATTAAGCCTTATCGTGCTCATGTCAATCTCAAACAAACTTCACACAATGAAGAAAAAATTTTTTTTAAATTTATTTTTACAATGGTAAGTCTATTTTATAGAATTTTTAACTGCTTTGACTGTATAGATGCTCATATTATTTTTAATTTTTCTGTATCGACAATTTTTCTATCATTTTATTTTATTATGTACATGTGTTTTGATTTTTTTTTGTATACACTATTTTTATTTTTTTTTTGTATACTTTTTTTATTATGTTATTTTATTCTCTTGATTTTTTCTTATTTTTTTTATTTTATTTTATAGACGTTTTTCTTGTTAGTTTTTTTTATTATTAAAGAAAGTAGAAAAACGTCTTTAGAATAAAATAAATAACATAATAAAAAAAAAGTGTCTATACAATAAAATAAAAATAGCAAGAAAAGTATATAAAATATTAATTCTATAAAAATTTTTCTTATTTTTTCTTATTTTATTTGACTTTATGATTTAGACATGTTTTTTACTATTTCGTTTTAAAAATAATAGATTTTCTATTATTTTTAGCTTCATTCTATAGACTTTGTCCAGTGATTTTTTTTGTTATTAATAATAAAAGAAATGATAAGAAAAATAGTCTATAGAATAATGCAAAAAGTACTGAAATATCTATACAATAAAACGAAATAATAAAAAACATGTCTAAATCATAAAGTCAAATAAAATAAGAAGAAAAAATGTAGATACAATAAAAAGAAAAACTAAGAAAAATTTTTATAGAATTAATATTTTATACACTTTTCTTGCTATTTTTATTTTATTGTATAGACACTTTTTTATTATGTTATTTATTTTATTCTAAGGACGTTTTTCTACTTTCTTTAATAATAAAAAACTAACAAGAAACACATCTATAAAATAATTATTGTATATACGTTTTTTGTATTTTTTCATGTTCTTTTTTTAAATAAAATTAAAGTATTTGGTAAATAATTCTGGCTTCAAATCATAAAAGTACACGAAAAAAATCGAGAGACAGGGAAAGGGTTAGTCATCACCAATGTCTATTGGCTGACTGCTAGCGACAGAAAATGGACCAATAGAATTATTAGACAACTGACACTGACACACGTATGACACAACGGCCGTACATGTGTTGACACATCATGACACACGTTACGTACATGTGTCGACACACCATGACACTGTGTCAAAACGTGACAATACTTCATGTGTCGACACAATTGTGTCGACACATGTGTCGGTAGCGTGTCCTATCGATATGGGTTTTGTAAAATCCATGCAGCGCATATTTTCATTACGTCGATACCAAAAAGTGTTGACATCTATATTAAGATTAAAGAATATTAACTGGAGTATCATAAGCTTATTCCAGTTTAATAAGAAGATTGTCTTCTGACAATAATTGATTTATTGTTATTTATTCAAGAAATAAATTCATACGGGGTGTGGGTGTAGAAATAATTCCTTCGACTGTAGGGAGGGTCATATGAAAAAACTAAAATGCGTTTGTATGCTTGTATGTGTCAGGGTCAAAAAACATCAGAGGTGAAGTTTATTTAAGCGTAACTTCTAAAGTTTCACCGAAGGTAATTGAAGTCGAGAAATCTGAATCTGAGGCTGGATTTTACATCCGACCTTCCCATTGGCAGGGAAGCCTACCAATCAGAAATGAGCTTTTTTATTTTAAGCTTTTTGCAGCTTTTGATGAAACTTTACTATCGGTTATCGAGTGCCAGGATTCCAAAACTGAGGTCGGATTTTATATTCGAACTTCTCATTGTCTAAGAAGTCGACCAATCAAAATGAGCTTTTTTACTTTAAGTTTTTTCCGACTTTTAATAAAACTTCACTATAGGTTATGGAGGACCAGGATTATGCATCTGAGATCGGATTTTACATTTAACCTTCCTATTGGCTAGGAAGTCGATCAATCAGAAACGATCTATTTTATTTTAAGGTTTTTGATACCTTTTGATGAAACTTTACTATAGGTTATCGAAGACGAGGATTCCGAATCTGAGGTCGGATTTCACATGTGAGCTTGTGATTGGTTAGAGGTCTGAGCAATTAGATAGGAGGTTTTTTTATTGCGTTTGGACCTTTATATGGGGTGATTTCCTTGATTGAAGGAAGGATAATATGCATTAAAAGGAGTTTTATGCTTACAGTAAAGTCAAAAGTCCTGAAAGGAGATAGAAATGAAAAGTGAAGTTGGTGACTACTTTGTGCTATATGTTCAGTCAATCGGAGGTTTTCAGTACTCTCATCTGAACTAATCAGATTTTTCGAGGTGACATGTCAGCCAATAACATGGTTGGATGTGGGTGTAGATGTGAGTGTTTGAGAGAAAAGGTAACCCACACCCACACCCACACTCACACACCCATACGCACACCACACCCACACCTCCACACCCTCCGACGAGAAAAAAATGATCAAATTTTTCTTCCAAAAAAAAACGATTTTTTGGGATATAAATATGAATGATTTTCTATGTAAAATCGTTCAATTTATTGAATCACACAATAATGTTTTCTTTGTATATTTTGGATTAATTTCTACGACACAATGTGGAACAAATCAACAGCAAACAAAACAACAATAATAAAATGTAGGTATTCGTTTTAGTTTTTTTTTCTTTTTCTTTTCCCAATCATATGGAGGATGACAAGTCCTCCTTTTGATTTCTTTTCTTTGCCTTTTAGTCATCAATATCATCGTATCGCGTCATCATTCAACATGAACAAGTGAGTAATTATTTCTTTTCTTTTTTTTGAGATACGAATAGGGTGAGACTGAGACAAGTGAGTGTTGGTAAGAACGTGGAATATGTCATGTCTGTTCAGGTTAAATTCACGCTATATGAAGGACTTCCAGGTAGTCCTTAAAAGCCCGGCCAGGAGCTGCCTTGATGTCCGTGGCACACGACCGAGCCTCCAGACTCATTGACATATGACATCAGATGGGTGCATATGGATGATGTGAGTCTTCTCAGACGTGCGAGTAAAGTAACTATTAATTATTTTTCATTCAATCGCGATTTATTTGTAAGAGAAAGAGAACGACACAAAAATCATTGTATTGAGTTTATTGGATATCAAACTTTTGTACTCGATGATTATTATTATCGACAATATAGAGATTGCCTTGTCGATCGAATGATAAACCAATGGGATTACCGAGTTGATTCGATTGCGTTCCTTCACCGTTACCACCGCCAATGACAGTTCCCTGTGTAGCTTCTTTTGGCCAACGCATGATTCGATAATTAACAGAATCAGCTACATACACAGTACCCAACTGATCGACAACGACTCCTTCAGGACAATATAATTGTGTAAGACTATCTCCTTCTCCTTGACCACCGGCTACGACAGTGCCTTGTTTTGCATCTTCCTCCCATTTCATCACACGATCATTTCCGAAATCAGACACGTATACTAAATGATTTCGATCGACAAATATGTAGCAGGGATTAGAGAGTTGATCGAGACGATTTCCTTGTCCATTGCCACCTGCAACCACTGTTCCTTCCGTATCACCAATTTTATATCGTCTTACTTCATGTTTTATATCATCAACGATATAGAGAGATTCATTTTCGTCCATTGTCAAACCAAAGCAAGCAATATTCGAAATGATAGTTTCTCCACTAGCACTATCTTGACGAGGCCATCGAACTACTCGATTATTTCCCCAATCGCTGATGATGAGACTATCTCTTTCTTTGTCAACAATCACATCTCGTGGATGGTTTAATTGATTCGCTTCATTTCCTGGTCCATTTCCACCAGCAATCACTTTTCCATTCGTAGCACCATATTTCCATTCTACAATACGATGATTCCCATAATCAGCGACATATATCGTTTGATCATCATCGATATACAAACCACGTGGGTAACGGAGTTGATTGGTTCCACTGCCATATTCATTTCTTCCAACCACAGTGATACCATTCTGTGACCATTTTGCATTCGGATGAATATCAATGGAACTTGCACGTAGTGGTACTAAAATGAAAACAAAAGTATGGAGTAGAAATAAACATCGATTCCATTAAAATAAGTTCTTCATTTGTTTTGATCAGTATTGAACTGTTTTCAATTACAAAAACCTATACTATTGACTTAATTAGAATCTGATTTTCTCAATGTTGACAACAAACATTGTTGATTTTTCAAATATTTTGTGTAAGAATCCTTAGTTTGACTAAAACTAACTAAGATTCAAGACTCTTTTTGAACCTAACGCTTCATCATATCGAAAAGTTAACTAGTAAGGTGGGACAGAATAAATAATACATTTATCAAAAGAAATAAATCTAACATAATATGAGTTTGTGAAAATCGAGACAATTTTCCCTATTTTCTAAAAAATTGACGGAAAATCGCGATGATCTCAGAGTTTATTCTGAATGAAATTTTCCAATATATTCAATTTTTCCAACGTATTCATTGAAATCTACAACTACGATCAAATCGAATTGCAATAACTTTACAGTCATTTCGTTAGTTCGAATTCGAAACATGTTCCTTGAATGAATTTTCTACTTATATTTAGATCTTGTGTCAGCATTTTAAAAATCATTTCATTTTTTTTTGGGATTTTAGAAGATACATATGTGAAAATGAACGTTTCATGTACCTGTTTTATTTTTACAATAGAATATTTAATCGAATTTCTTGTAGGAAAGAATGAGCAAGTTATGATAGAACTTGAACGCGAATATAAATAATCGAATTATTTAAATAGATCTTTGAAAAGTATTTAACAGTAATAGATAATTAAAAACTGAAACGCATTGTATAAAAAATGATAAAGGTTTATAAATTCTGCATTTGCCATATATTGAATTTAATATCTCAAAGATGTTATGTTAAGAATTTAAAAATTGTTTCACATGTTGTTTTTGTAATCGAATAATTTTAAAATGGGAAAAAAATTGAGCGCTAAAAATTCTTTAAAAATTCTGTGTTTTTTTTGTTCAGGGACAAGACTTTTTGCAATTCAAAACATTATATAGGTTTTCTCTTGGTATGGTCTAAGCGGACAGACGTATTGATTATTGTCTAAGACGAATCGCTTTTAAACAAATCTTGTCTGTTTACACTCATGATTACAATAGTATTTTTTAGCTTATTGATACTTAGTTCATCGTTTTTCCCTCTCTCGCTGTAAAAAAAAAGAACGAAACCTATCAAATTTCATTTGTTCTATTTGATCTTTTCACTTTTTATTTTCTGCTATATTAAAACACCCCATCGTCACTGGAAAGTTCTATTTCCAAACTTTGAGCCTTAACATGTAATGAATTCTACGTACATGAATTCTTAGTCGAGACAAAAAGTAAAGCAAATAGTTAACTAGTCTATAAACAAAATAGAACTTTCTTTTCTTCTTCATGTGAATATTTTTTTCTGTTGAAACAACTAAATACAAACGTTTCCTGATCATCTTCGATATAAACTTTTTAAAATTCAAAAAATGAATTTCAGGTTCGAACTATAACGACATCAATGTCACGTTAAAATTTGTTAATATTTAGTTCACAATATGAATCTCAACAGCAATAAATAGGAGAATTTGTTTTCTAATTTTTATTTTATTTGATTCTGAACTTACAGAAATTCCAAGTAAAGTCGAATTTTTTTCTGATCACGGTTGAGTCTTTGTATAAAAAAAAACAGAAGAATTTCTTGCATTAATTGGTTTTTTATTAAATAGTTATTTTTGGTAATAGACAAATCATTCAGTAGCACCTGTTTCATAGTTTGATTCATGTTTGGAGAAAAAGAAATTAGAAGTAGAATTTTTCTTATGTCAATTGAATCGATGAAATTAATGAAAAAAAAATCAATAAGTAATGCTTTTCTATAACATTTTGTACAGTAACGACTGTAAAATCCTAGACGATTTTGTTAGATAATCGCCACAAGCATGAATATATGAGATAGCGAAATTTTTAATCAACCCGTAGAAAGTTTCCCACACAACAGTATTACCAATTGCATGAACGTAAGTAATTTCGGAAGGTTCAAACTATAATTTAAGAAAATTTTGATTCATTTTGGTTTTTAAAAACCATGATTTGACAGCTCAAAACTTTTCTTTGTATCCCTGTTCTGTTTATTCATTTCTTTCACTATGCATCTTGGTATTATCTCTGACAAGATGTTTTCCAACTAGCTCCCCCCCTCTCTCTGTAGAGCTACAAACATTGAGCTACCTCTGCTTGTGAATCTCAACATTAACAATGATCAAAATCATAACATTCGGAATGAGTGAACAGATTTGAGATTTTCTTTTCAGTCAATTGAAAGTGTTTAATCGTTTTCAATTTGATCATGAAGCATGTAGCTACAATCGAGATCTCATTGCAATTGAATGAAATCAAGAAATCTATAGGTGAAAAAAAAATTTTAGTGTTATTTCTTTTCTTCGATCGACAAAAAAAATATGTGGAAAATGATATGAGAACTACAACGATATCAGTAAGAGTGATATTCAATCAAAACTATCCATGTAAAAGCAACATATCTCAAACAACTCTAAGATGAGAATTAGAATCAAAACAACACTTTCTAATTTTAAAATCAAAGAGATTGTGAGACATAACATGCTAGGAAATATAAAATTCGAGTAGATAATTTTATTTCCTACTTATAGATGATGACATAGAGCTGTATGAGATGCTTATTAATACTATATATTTAGTTCCATTAAATCAAACATCTCAAATATCTCTTATACACATGGAAATGATCAGTCTGACCGGCTACCTCGCTTCTTTTTTTTCACATAAACTTCAATCTTAGTTTAGAAAAAAGTACAGTCAACATGTAATATTGATAAAATGACATTCTTTGATCTATATATGTCATATCGAAGTTACTTCAAATGAACTCAACACTACATAAATATCAATTATTTGATGATATTAAAACGATATATAACATTATAATGAATTTCTTCTGTTTTTGAAAATATTGATATCATTTTTTAATGAATAAACATAGACAGAATTTTTAAGAAAAATGAAATATCATTATTTGTTTAATATTTTATATGATGACAAGTCTATTCTGACTAGACATTAAGAATAGAAGGCAAGATTATGGTTAAAAAAACTGTAGTACAGTTAACATATGTAATATATTGCGAAAGATAGATACAAGTGTTTGAAATATAAACAATAAATTGCAACCTACTGTATTATCTGTTACTTTTTTAATGTTACTTGTCTGATATACTCTTCTTTGAGATTAGTTTTACTGATAGAATTTTTATTTGGAGTCGTATATAGATTATATTCAAGTGCAGGATTCAAAAAATCTAGTCAAGTCTTTGTTCCACTCAAAGTTTTGTTTAAATCGAAATGGAATATTCCGCAGATATCTTTTATTACTTAAAGACCTTAATATCGTCAGAATAGATTGATACTCATGTAAAATATTTGCAAATTTTATTCATAAAAAACTGCTATAACTATTTTCAAAAATAACAAAATAACTATAATATTATACATCGAAGTAACTTCGGTAAGACATGTATATCTTGATGAAAGTCAGATATAACAAATATTTTCTCGAAATTTTGTGTCCAGAATATATTTGTCTGGAAAAAAAGAAAGTTCCTACAATTTAATTAACAGTGAAAGATAAGACTTTGATAGTAGATCTGTATCATACCTTGAAAAGTGTTCTATATCCTACAATAACTAAGAGAGATTTTGATACTTTGTTGTTGCTTCAAACCATAAGTATGACTAAGAAATGAATAAACTTGATAAAGGTATGCTTATTTTAATTTAGCATCAAAGAATTGAATAGAACAATTTCGATTGATTAGATTAGAGACCAATGAAGTCAACAAAACGGTTTCAATATAGAAAATTTCAAGATATCAGAAAACAAGAATTGATAGATATTTTTGTGTGAAAGAAAAGAAAATCTAATATTCTATCTTCTTCGAAGCCTTTTATAGTAGCAGTGTCCTTTATTATCATTCAATACAAGGAGAAAAACTAATCATATATTTGAGATCAACACAAAAGAAACTACATTCAATATATATTTCAACAAAAGAAAAATACATGCAGTCTGACGAAGTTTATTGTGTTAATATCGAACTTGTTGAGTATTTTGATCTAAATTTAAACTCTAGTGAGAAAGGAACCGAAATATTAACGTACTTTTAGAAAATTATGTATAGTTTTATTATTGAAATTAAAAAAAAACAAATTTCTCAATATTCAAACAAAATCACAATAAACTATCTAAATGAACTTGACGTTCGAAATCCAAGTCTACTATAGAATGACTAGATAAATTTATCTGTATGAACGATATGCGTAGGCTCAGAATGTAAATTTCTCAGAGATTGCAGAATTTACCTTATCTTTAAGGAATGTAATACTTGTTCGAATTTTAGTTCTGATCTCGCTGGATAGAGAATTTAATTCTCTACAAAACTGTGAAATTTTTTATGCTGACATAAACTTTATAAACAACTGCGAAGTCATATTTTTTTTACGGATGAAAGAAAGACTTGTGTCAGCGTGTGCTCATCAAGGACAGTGCCAAAAGCTAAGCATTGTATAATAAAAGATAGATAAGTTTTTGTCTTACATGCTCACCATCTTAACATGAATCGGAGTGTTTTGATCAGGAGAAAAAAATGCGCTTTAACATCTATCTATAAAATGATATAGTCGAGAAAAATAAGAATCGCCTTAAAAATTTTTTTTTTTTGTTGGAAAACCTTCTGTAGGATCCAGATACACTTATGCTGATTGTAGTGATAGATGGGTATGGGTAAGAATGAAGAGGACAACTACACCTACATCCACATCCTAGAATTAAGTTTTAATAGAAAACAATAACTATACATTATGATAAAGCTGAAAATTCTCTATTATTCAATATATTTTCGTTTGTATTTGTTCGTTTTATTTTTTATTTTAAAAAAGCACAATGATCGAGAATATGAAGCATTGTCAGAAGATATAAGTATTTGTTCAAAAATTTATTACAATACTGCTCATAAACTTGAAATGAAAAGGAAGTGATAGGAGAACATCCAGTTTTTTTGAGTTGAGCTCGTCTTTCCCTCAATAATCAATCTTGGTTCAGAAGCATTTACATCGCATGAAATTTTGAGGAGATGTTAGGATCATCGTGGAGAGACTAGTACAATTTTCAGCTCTACGCCATAACTTTTTTCGAAGATATTCAACTATGTTTGACAGAGCATATCAGGATGCCGTGTATGACAGAATCCTGTTCTTTTTTACAATTCTTACTTTTTGAAGGGAATACAAGCATGAAAAGTTCGACGTCTCGAAAAACTATAAAAGTATGACGTTCTAGTTATAAAAGTGCTCTTTTATTTCATACTAACAAAGATTAATTCAAGACAGGCTCTCTCATGCCCTTTCAAACTAAAGAAAAAGAAATTGGCTACAATAAAGCTCCTTCGAAAATTGTGGGATGTGCAAACCAAAAAACATAAACTGAGTAAAAACCAATTGGGCTACATTTGTTTTAACATTTATTTTCATCACAAAAACCGATCTTTATTGAAGAGAAGTCTGTTACTCTCAACTAAGAGACGAGCTTATTCGAAAACACAAATAGAACCATTAGCGTAGTCAAGGGCAATAAGGGGTATTTTGAAAAAAAACATACCATTGAATTGTGTCATCATTGTAAGCATCACTCTAATGAAAAAACCGTCTGTTGATCTTTCTGGATCACTTGACTAGATCACAAAAAGGTAGAACGTATCAATATGACATCGTTTAGTTCTTTGTACATGCATATGGATTAAGATTTTTTAGCATTGAACAATAGCTCAATGGATTGATCCTGGCTGCGCCACTGATTGTGGAATTTCAATTTTGAGGAATTCTTTGTTATTTTGTGAAACAAATGCAATTTTATCAGTGTCATTCTAGGTCGGGACAAATCGAACTATCAAAAAGAGAGCTTTTAGAGACCGAATTGGCTGAATGCCATTTCGGAGAGACGATCGACAACAAAATTGACTATCATAAATAGACTAAAATTACTCTAGCCCTCACTAAGAACGAGATGTCAAATTGAATTTTTTTATTTTCAACTAGACAGTCTCGTCAATATGTGATTCCTTTTCTAAACGAAAAAAATTACACAGCTAGTTTTAACAGTCATGATTCCTCTCATTCTTATTTTTTCTGTTGTATCACCTTTCGCTATTCTGCACTCATTGGATAATCTTTCGATTGGTTCACATAGAGCCGTTCAACCATTTTTTTTTGTCAAATAAAATTACGAAATAAAAGGTGTATTCAAAACAAAAAAAAGATAAGCGACGAGATTTTTGAGAGTCATTCATATGACTGTGTCTTAAGGTAGAGATCTAAGAAAAAGCCAAATCTATAATTTTGTAACACAAAATTTGGTCTATGATTTGAAATATTTTTCAACCTTATGATTAGATTGAGATCTATCGATGAAAACTTCATCAAACTCCTTCAATGTTATTGAAGAAGAAAAGGGAATGAATATTGTTTTCGAAAATCTTTGAGTCACTTTATTCATGAGATACAACACGAAAGGTTGAAAATTGGAATCTATTGGCATTAGAAATGGTGTTTTAGTTTCTGATAAGAACAAAATAGATGAATTCTTTGTAAATTATGACACAGTTTAACAGTGTTCGATTCTCTCTTGGACTGTCTCTTAAGACTACTAGTGAATATCTATGAATCATCTTCATTTCTCTCGACAAAGTTCGATCTTTTACAGTTCTTACCTTCCATTATTTGCCTGTTTGCTTCTTCGAGCGTTATATGCCCACGTGGTTTTTCATAGAATGCCAGTTGAATCAAAGTTCCATTATTATATAACGACTGCAGCTGCACCATATCATCGTCTCTTACTTGACTCCTGTAAAACTCCAGATAAGTCAACGTATGAAGTTCTTTCGCAGCATAAATAAATGCTTCCGTGAGTTCACGTGATATAACTGATTCAGATATACAAAGATGTGAAATAAATTCATCATTTCTCAACGATTTAATCAAACGATCTTCTTTCTGATTTGATGGTTGTATGTCTCGAACGTACAAGCTAAGATATCTGATTGACTCGTGGTCTCTCAATGTGTCCAGAAGATTAATAATGAAAGCTTCCTCTTTGCAATCAATTTTATCCATCAGATCGATTTCAACAAGTGTTTTGTTTTCCTTCAACATTTCACAGAAAGAAGATAATGTTGAGAGCTTGCACAGTGAATGAGTCAGTTTTAATTGATATAGTGCACTTGTTTTCAAAGTGAATAAAGTATTGAGGAGATTAAAATTGTCACAATGTTCTACAATAAAGCTTGTAATAATTTCGTTCGTTTCAAGGCATCGCCGAAGATCATCTTCATGCCACAGAAAATCACAGGCAGAAAAATCCAATTTTCGATATATCTTATTTTGCAGCAAAAGTCGAGTGAGCATTGGTGTATTTCCATCTTGATAAGTGTTGTGGAAACGAACTTTCAATAATTGATTAATGAACTCTATGACGATATACTTGCAGGTGTACTTTAACATTCCAAAAAAATTGTAAACACGAACATCAATCATGTTTAGACAACGAATTGAAGAGTGGTTAATGACGATGTCAAGGAATATATCAAGATCACTCTCATAGAACGAACAATCTTGAAATGTCAGTTTCACAATGTTAAAACCCTTTTTGAGAGCATCACACAGCATTCTAACATTTCTGTTGTTTACGTTCACTTGATTTACAATTGCTTCGTGGGTCTTTTCATTGAATTTACCTCCCATAGCTACGAAGTCCTTAATATATTTAATCATTTCATTACTGAAGCTAATGTAAACGTAGTCTTTGAGACACACCCAGCAAATATGACTGTCGGTAGTGACTACTCGGTATAAGTTTCCTAGACTACATTTACTATCGACAACATCTAGATATGTTTCAAGTTCTCGTAGTTCTACGGCCTGAAGTGAGACTTCCTTTGACTTTTCCGTGTCAATCACTGAAGAATCTGGACGGTCTCGTTTCTTATGGAATTTATTGATTAAGGCATCAACGAATTTTAATTGCTGTTTTATGTTTTCGTAGTACTCAGAAGTGTTAGATTGCGACTGTAACACATTACTAACATCAGTTGATGAGTTTTCCAGATGTGGAATGACAAAACGTCTGACCGAGAGTAGAAGCTGAACAATATTTGAAGTTGCTCTTAAATGCGGTCCATATCTCACGATGAAATCTCTTGGTTTTCTAATTGTATAACCATCATGGGGCGCGATATGCATTTCAAGCGGCTCGTGTGAACATTCACATAAAAAGTAGAGTTTATAGTGGATGTGAAACCACGATTCTACGTTGTTAATCAAGTCCATATCACAGTGTCGTATCGGTAAAATGAAAAAGAAGCGAGGTGTGGTAAACTCATGCAACGTATATGTCTGCGCCATCATCGCCCTAACCTGGCATAATATTTCTTCTGTATTGATTTTGTTATAAGAGGTTGGAATTTCGATATAATCTAGACAAACACAAGTGACATGATAAAGAACACTAGCCGTTGTACTACTGAATACTTTGATACTAGTTATTTAAGTTATGCTTTAAGTTTTCTTTTCATAATGTAAAGAAAACACGTTATATGTAAAGAAAACGCTCCTAAATGGTTCACTTATTATCATTTAAGTAGGTATTTTAGCTGAAATGTAGTGCTCAATAATGAACTTCAGACTACTTTTGTTTAAAAGGAATAATACTATAAAAGCCAATTGAATTTTGTCCCTTTGTTTTTGTTTGTTTTTATAACTATATTTCTTTAATTTTTTTAAACAACTATATATAGGGAGAAAGCAAAGAACGCGCTGCATCTATTGCTGTATTTACGTTGAACATCAAATATAATTTAAAGGATAAAAAATGTATTAGAAGACGAGTGACATTTTTTTTTGTTCCAGTATACATTCACGTCTATTATCCATTTTAAAATAAAAGAAGGATGAGTATTTTTTTAAACAACTTTGAATAGATAGAAGAGTGTGTGAGAGTGAGTGTGGAAATGGATCTTTGTTTTATCTCCACCCACACCCCATATAATAATATGTCCGATTCACTCAGCATTACTGTCGTGGTATAGAAATAAAGAAAGAAGGACATAAGCATCAGTATTATCATAGAAAAATGTTTTAACAAAAATTGTCGAAGAAGATAGGAATTAAAATTAGATCAGATAATAGTAAATGCTTCTATTGATTTGTTATTAACGGTCTACTATTTCGGACATGTGAAACAGATTTTAATAAGCAAAAACAAGGATTTCTAGATGAAATTGATAATGAATTTTCAGGAATTTCTCCTCTCTGAGTTTTTCCATTGCCTTTTTTTTTTATAATGAAAGTATTATTTTCTGGCATAGAACTCACATTTCAATATAATAGACTTTCCTGCAATGAACTTACCAACAGAATTGCTTGCTTCATTAACACTAGAAGTTGAAGTTAATTGATTTTGGCTTTTGAATTCGGCTGATTTTTGATACCACTGGATACTCATGTTAAAGTCGCCGATCTGTGATTCTAGTTCGCCAAGATCGTCATACAAAGTACTAAGTAAAGGATCATTTGGTGAAAGTTCATTTAATAGACGAGTGAAATATTGTTTTGCCAAATCAAGTTTTCCCATTTTCCATAATACTTTTCCTAATGTTCGAAGATTTGTTTCTCCATTACCAAGCTGCTGTTTCATATACATAAGAACTTGTTTTAAGTCATGTTCATCATCGCTGCACAATGTCATACGGATGATCCAATATGGATCATCACTACTGTGATTGAAGCTATTTAAACGAAAAATGGAGCCAGGCATAAAAAGTATTTCTGATTCGCCAGGAAATTCACTATATGCACTGATATCAGCAAATGGTTTTCCTGTAACTTTATTAGGATCGGCATCGATTTCATATAATACTGGTACTAATTTATCTGTAGTATCATCGATATTCAGAAATGGCAGAGCTACATTTTTATTGGTACTGGTGGAAAAAAATGAATTCACTGAAATAAACTGATTAAGGCGTCGTTTCAAATTTTGCAGTTCATCATTTGACATCTTTTGTCCTCGATAAACTCGTAAAGGATTCTTAGATTGACATTTTTTTAATTGATCATATATGTCGAGGATGTATGCACGAAATAAAAACATCAAATGAAAATCTTCGGTGCGTAGAGCTGCATTGAGCGTCTTGAAAAAGAACGATTGTCGTGTGTACCACAGTAACACTTTATCAGGTGAATAATCTATTTCAAATTCATGAAGATAATCCAACTGTTTTTTATTGCCTTTGCATTCCTGTTTACAACGATAAATAAGTTCTTTCTTATCTACTGGAGTGTATTTTAGCCGTAGAAGACAATCAATGAGAATTTGAGAAAAAACAAATTTACCATTTAGACCAGTCATTGATTTATCTGCATCAGTAAAAAAATTAATTGTCATTGATTCTTCCACCATTTTTTGAGTTTTATGATCAACTTCAATTCGAGAGATCAGCTCATTAGAGTCATCAACAACAGCTTTTACCTATTAACAGAAACTCATAAAATGAAGTTATATAATCGTTCAGGAAAATCTTACTTTTGAAAATTTATCAGCCCATGCTTTGTTACTTTCTTTATCGCCGCAATACACATAGATTAATATAATTTGTTGAAGTTGATGAATGGAAGGAACAATTTCTCGTCCTAATCGACCACTAACAATCATTATTAATCGATCTTTTCGTACTCGTGCTTCTTCAATATATTTCTGACATTGTTCTATATCTTGAAACTTCTCCAAACGATTCGTAATAGAGTGTAATTTTTGTTCTACATCTTGGTTCTCCTCAGCGTTCACGTTAGCATCGAGCCAGATAAGCCAACACGTTTCGAAATCTTCATCGTCGGTCTTTCCATGAAAGTCGTCAATCGGTAGAATGGAAGTGGTCATGTTTATCAAAAAATGCTAAATAAGATAGAAGTTATGAACGATGTCGTTCTGATATAGTTTTCAAATGTGTGAAATTTTTTTTCAATCTAAAATGAAAGATGTTCAATAGTCACTTTGATTATTTTATTTATTAGTATTTGTGATGTAATGCAAAAGAATGCAAGAACAAGATGTTCGTCGAAGACGATGACTTTCTTCTGGTCCTTAGATTTTATCAGTAAGATTCTGGAATTGAGATTGTTTGAAACGTTTTCGTTTAGTCATGTAAAATGAATATAAACCAGATGATATCACATCCGATTAAGTTGAGCACTGTTATTTGGCAGCATGTAGATTTTTAATTTCAATCGAAATGAGCCCTAATCTTCATTTTTTATATAAAAAAATTTCCAACAGCCAACTTAATGAAATCTATCAAATCGACTCGTTCATTTCAAAATGGTTACTTCGCACTTTATTCACAAAGTTTCAACTTCTTACAAAAAGTTGTCGCCTTCGTTAAATATTTTTCAAATATAAAATATCAAAAAATGGGAATTCTAGTTTTCATCCTCTAAGTATTATTAATAGAGATCCGATCCAGATTATTGTGAGAAAAATAGAAAATTTTATTTTTCTTGAAACTTTTTTTAAGATCAAAAAGATTTCACAAAAAACATGATTCATTCTTTTTATATCTGAATGGAGAAATTGTTCTCTTCGGTGATGGCATCTATTCTTGAGAACAACTAATCTTTTCTATATATGAAGGTCCTTTTTTTCAATTGTGTTGGCTTTAATTTATCGATGAAATTCTAATCATATTCTAGACCGATGCACAAGATCAACAACAGTTGTTTCGCACTGTATTTAGTTGTCGAATAAGGATAATACACTGATGGAACTTACGTTATTTGGAAGGATTAACAAACGAATATGCTAGTGATATTTATAAAAGGCGGTGATAAACTCTATTGTTGTTTTTAAAAATTGTCATAAACATATATTTCAAGTGGAAGAGAAAATCGTTATTTCACGTAGACAACGATCGATAATTCTCTTTCCCTTCTACCGTAGCTTGACTTTAGTCTGCAGATGTTGTTGTTAATTCCAGATGATCCAAACGAAAAGAAATTTTTTTTATTCGATGCGCACCTCATCAGTGCAGTTTATCGTTTGCCTGTACTTTTAACAATCCTTTTGGAGAAAAAATAATACCAAGAGGAGAAAAAGCTCTTCGTAGCTGAGATTTATTTCTAAGAAGTCAGAGAAATGTAACACAATGGATCTATATATTTGCATTATTAAGAGACCAACGAGGTTTTGTTACTTCAAACTTTCATTTCGTTCATAGACTTATTCTTATCAAAACGAAATTATGAATGACTTTATGATTCTTCTAGATAAAGAGAAAGAGAACAGCTGAGACAGAAAGGTCGTTCAGAAATAAAAGCTTTCATACGTACAGAAATTTCATCCAAACACCATTTAAGGTGTGGATGTGTAACGTTTATTGGTGTATGCATCACTATAGGTGCCGCTAAGGTGGTTGACTTTTCCTCACATCTCCATATTCACACCACTGCTTTCATCGAAGACTCTAAAACTCTTGATTAGGAACTACTTTGTTTTCTATGGCACACGACCGACTTTGAATGTGGTGTGGGTGGGTGTAGGAAAGGTATGAGTCTTCTCCTCAAATACACTCCCCTCCCCCCACATACACACACCCCCATCCATACCCGCACCTCACACCCTACACAACATCTAGGATAGGATAGGACAAGGGTACGAACACCACTGTGAGATAAAGTATAGGTTACGAAAAAGTTTCACCTTGCAGGGCTCTATAGTGTGGGTTATGTTGTATATCAATTTTTTCCACACAGGTATGTGTACACTCACCCTCACACACAACTAGATAGCCAAATGAAAAACATTAGTTAGACGATTCGCTAAAAGAAAAAACGGCCATTGCTTTCGATTCCATCGCTGCCTTGACTCTTGCTAATGATGGGATCATAGTTGGGCTATGTATATGTCTTTTAAATGACTTTGATTTAGTATTCAAATCATTCCAATAAGTTACTCACCGTAGTCGAATAATTTCAACCAAAAAGTTGTGCAGACTCTCTTGGCGTGTTGTTGTTGTCATATGACATGTTTTCTACTTGTGAAAGATAACAACATTTTATCTTCCTTATCATACTTTTTTTCCCTTTTATTTTGTTGTATTTGAATACATTTAAACTACGAATTTTGTTGAGAGCCACTGTACTTATCAAAAGTAAAGTATTTAAACAATTACTACAGCACTTATGCCTCCTTATTTAATTAGAATACATTTCACGATTTCCAATATCTAGTCAATTGTTCTTTCAGTTATTATCAAAATAAAAACAAACTGTCATAATTCAAAAGACTGTAAAAATAATTGATATTTGGATCGATCATTGCTAAAAATTAAAAATAAAAATAGAACATCAAATTTTACTGAATAAAGAAAATCAAATGAATTCGTCTGTGGTGAAACATAAATGCAATTGATTTTTTCGATTTAACACTGAGCTAGATCATTTTGTCAAAATCTATCAATTGTTATTGATAGCGATTTACATAAAATTCAAGAAACATTGAATGATTGGATTAAGTCCTAGACATTTTTAAAAGAAAATCTCAGGTTACTTGATCCAAGCCTAATATCTACGATTTATTTGGATTCCATTTTAAAATTTGAATTGTCAAAAATCCAATTATATCTATATCAATAAGAAAAGTTTTATGATTTTCTAGTAAAAAATTTTTTTCAGGAGATCCGTCAAGTGTTTAGAGCGACTAACAAATAGTCGCTTGCCAGATAATTCAAGTTTAATTAAACATTCAATATCTTGATAAAAGAACATTCTTATCGACTGAAACTTTCAAAATATTCTTAGGATATTTATGAACAGTATATCAGTTAATCAAAAATAGGTGACACTGTTTATTTCTATTTTTACAACGAGTGCATGACTTTATATTAATTTCATCTAGATGTCGTTAATAATTTACAATAATAAAAATAAAGAAAAAAATATTTTCATATTTTTATTTTCAAATAAATTAATTTATAAAAAATGAAAAAAATCATATCAAAAAAAAATATTTTCTTTAATCAAATTCAATAAAGAGTTCTTTGTCATTTGATTATGGCTGTTAAATCAACAACAACAACAACAACAACAATAATACTCACGAAGAGAAAAGAAAGAAAACAAAATCTAATAATAAATAAGTTCAATTCTTTTTTTTTTTTTTTCAGATTTTTGTTTTTTTTGTTTTGTTTTCCTCAATTTATTCATATTCACCATATGAACATTAAAATTATTCTTAGTTCGTTTTTCGAACTCGTATTATGACGACAACAACAGAAACATATCTTTCAACACAAACATCATTTACAAATGAAACAAATACAACTACAACTACTACTACTACAAATAATGAAGATCAATCATCAACAATTGCTGCTAATGTGACAATTGATGAACTTGTTCAATCATGTTGTAGTGAAGTATTACCATCATCTAGTCAATTGAATAGTAGTAGTAGTGCTTCACCAACACATCTCGTACGATTTGTTCATTCACAATCGTCACTTGTTAGTCAGATAGATGAACAACAACGTCCATCTGAACAAGGTACTATTAATTCTTCTTTGTCTAGTCATGATACACCTATTAAACAACAACAACAACAACCACCACCATTAATTAATGTTACACATTTACCATCACCATATAAACCTAAAACAATTATTGAATCAACAAATTCAATGCAAAATACAACTAATTTAAGTAATATAACAGCAAATAATATTAGTGTGAATAATTATAATGTTAATATTCATACAACAAATGTTCAACAACAACAAACAAATATATTAAATAATGAACATTTAACAAAAAAATGTCAATTTGATGAAAAACAAACAACTGAAATAGTATCACAAATATTAAAAAATATTAAAGAAGTTGATGAATATCAAACAAATACAGCAGCAGCAACAACAACAACAAATTATAATATACATATTGATTCATTTAATTTTTCATCAACAAATGATCAACAACATTCAACAATAATTAAAAAATCACGTATTAAAAAAGAAGCTAAAGCATTAACAAGAATTATTGTTAAAGATGAAGCTATATCACCAAATTTTTCACGTAATAAAAAAGGAACAAAAAATTTATCAACAACACATTTAACAACAATAAATAATTTACAACCAATGGAATATATACCTGTACCTTATGGATGGCAAAGACGAATTCTTGCACCAGATCTTGTTGTTTATCTTAGGTAGAATGTAGTTTCTTGTTTTTTTTTAAGATGAAAGTTAAATTTTAATATATATTTCTGATTGTTGGCTTTTTTTTTTTGTTTTTAGTCCAACTAATATAATACTCGATTCATTAGATGCTATACGTCAGTATCTTGAAACACCTTCATCATGTAAATGTGGTCTTCAATGTCCACTTATTGTTGATAAGGTTTGTTTTATTTTAATTAAATTAAAAGTTTTATTGATGAACGAAAAGAATTACTTATTTTTTTACTCGTCTCAAATTGATACTATAAGAAATATAATTTATTTTATAATTAAATATAAAATTTTCTAATAAATAATATAATTAGGTTTTCAATTTTGATTCAACAATAAAATCAAAATCTTGGGAAGTCACACAAGTACTTGAAGGTACTCATTGTCGACAAAAATCGAATATTTTAGAAATGGCAACATTAACAAATTGTATTGATTCATTTTGTGAAACTGAACAAAAACCCGGTAAATATTTTATTTTCATGAAATATGATCTAAAAAGAACAAAAAAAAAACCAGTCTCATTATAATGTATATAAATTACTTCGTTATTATGTGTTTATATTTTAATCTTGTTGATATTGTACTATTATTTTCGAATTTTAAAATAGCTAAACGTCGAAAACGAACACATGCTGAAACAGCAAATGGAAATGTATTTGTTTGTGCATCAAATTCATCAAATATTCTACAAACAAATAATGAATCAACTGTTTTTGTTAATAGTCCTAATCAAACATCAGGTATAACAAACATTTTTTTTTTGTTTTGTTCATAATTTTTTTATTTTTTTTCGAAAAATAGAAATTGGCCAATCGATGACATGGACTCCATTACAACAAACTGGTGTTACTCCACCGTCGAAACGGCCACGTGGTCGTCCTCGTAAAACAGCTGTTACTCCACCAGTTATTGCTCAATTAGCTGTTAAACCATCACATGATTCACATCAACAAATACAACCAGTACCATCATCTATATTATCACCACCTGCATCTGTTTCATCAATATCACAAACAAATCTTGTTCATCGAAATTCAACATCACCATCAACTCATCATCAAAATACAAATAATAATCTTCGTTATATTAATGATAATGTATTAACACCATCATCAACAACAGATACAAATGTTATTGCTCGTGTACCATCTCTATTTGAACAAGTTAAAACAACAACAAATGAATCAACATTTGCTGTTCTATCTGGTGTACAAAATGTTTTACTTTCACCAAATAGAGATACAAATAATAATAATAATAAACGAGTACGTGTTGAATCTTCATCATCATCATCAATTGTATCAACAACTGGTAAACCTGTTACATTAAATGTTAATGCACTTAAACCAGATTTTGTTCGATCACCAGCAGCTGCACAAAAACCATGTTCAACAACACCAAATCAAATTGATGTTATATCATTAATGGGTACAACAAATAATCAAACACAATTAATGGTTACAAAAACAACACCAAAACCTATAGCACCAATACCATCAATAACTAATTCAGATGATTATTCATTAATAAAATCTACTAATGAACAAACAAATGATTCATCACAACCATTAATGATTGATTTTAATGATCCATCAACAACTAATTTTCTTCTATCAGCACTTGCATCAGGTGCTGCATCTGATTCAAATGCTATTGTTAATCATCTTTTTCAAAAAGCACAAACACAACGTAGTAATAATACATCATCATTATCACCACCACCACCGCCACCACCACCATCAACAGCAACAATTAAGAAAAAACTTCCGATTATTTCATCGGGATCAAAAAATTGTACAGAAACAACAAATTTATTACCTATAACAAATTCAAATACACGACAACCTGTTGTACTTCATGTACCAACAACAACAATAACAAATGATTATAATCAACAATCACAACAAATTATATTTAGTAGTAATAATAATAATAATAATGGTGAAAGAAAACAACCACAACAAATATTTTTTATTAATAATAAACCATATGTTATTCAACAAAAACTTCCATCTGATCAATCATCACAACAACGTTTAGTTCTAACACCATCGATTACTCAAGCAGATGGTTTGTTAAAAAAAATTTTTTTTTTTTCTAATTTATTCAAAAAACCAAAAAAAATAAGGAGTGTAAATTTTAAGTCTCGATGAATTGCAGCTTCGCGGTCATTCAACGATCATTAGGTACGTTTCCATAGCAATGAGATGAAGGAAAAGAAAGGCTAAAGATCATTGGGTACGTTTCCATAGTAATCAAAGACAACAGGCATCATATCTAGAATAAGTTTATGTGCCAGTTCACCATGTAGAGGTTGCACAGACAAAATTTATATTTTCTCATATATAAACCTAGTTAAAAAGAAGTTTAATACTTTTTTTTTGTTTTTTGTAGAACTTACCGTTCATAATACACCTCATCAAAATCGAAATATTGCTCCTGCTCAAAATAATAGTACTAATTCAAGTGGTCAATCAACTTTAGATGATGGTGGCAATTGTCTGGTAGTTAATGGTGTTGTTGAACCACGAACATTAAGTACATTATTAAAAGGTCTTAATCCATCATCATTTTCTGGTGTTGATAATATTATTGATACAATACATCGTTTTGAACATACAACATCAACAGAACAAAATGATAATTTATTACTTAAACCTATTCGAACAACTACTAAAGCAAGTCCAGCAAGAAAAACAAATCCAGATAAACCACCAGCAAGACGTCGAGCGCCGAAAAAAGTTAAACAAGAGGAACAACAACAACAAGTACAAGTAACTATGCCGCCGCCGCCACCACCACCACCACCACCACCTTCTCTTCCTCCACTGTCACTTCCACCATCAATACAACCCATTGTTGCTGATCAACAACAATGGCAAACAGATTTTAATTCATTTGATTTTTCAACAGCATGGGGTAGTGATACAAATTTAAATTCTCTTTTATTAAATGATGATTTCGATACGGCTGCTTCATTTGATGATGTTAGTTTTGGAGATTTTGAACCATATATGAATGGTAATAATAATAATCTTAATCAAACCGATACAATTTTGCCATCATTATTTGGTAAACCATTACCGCCAGACACATTACCAGGTGTTGATCATCTTTTACCTTGAAACGAGAAAATAGAATTTCTCTGTTCTTCTTTCTTTTCTTTTTTTTTTTTTTCATTTGCGTCTCTCTGTTTTCTCTTCTTGCATATTGTGATATTCGTCTACATTGTAAAAAGAAAAAAATCGCACGCACACACACACACATATATATACATATATATATAGATGGATGATACTCACACATTTATTGGTCATCTCAGGCTGTTGCTGCTGCTGTTGCTGCGCTTTTTTTTCGATCTTAAATATGTAAATGTAGTTGTGTAGTTTATTTCTGTTTCTTTCTCTGTTGATCTGAAGAAAAATGTGTTTTTGTTTTCTATATATGCGTGCAAGTGTGCAATTCTTATGTACTCATTTCAATCCCATCTTTTTTTTTCTCCTTTTTGCCTCTAGTCTCTCACTCTCTCTCTCTGTCTCTCTCGGCCTTCTTATTTATATATTTTTTGTTGTTTGTACAGTGTCAATTTTTCTTTTTTTTTTTGTCTTTTCTTGCAATATTATACGCGTATATATATATATATAAATATTTATTTGTGCCTTGTCTCCACTCTAGAATGATATTTTGCGTTCCTTAAAATTTGATTTCTTTATAACCGAATTTGTACAATGTTCATTTATTATTTGTTTGTGTGCCGTGTCGTTCATCTTTTCTTTTTGTCTTTTTTTTTTGTCCTCTTTTCTTTTTTGCCTCTGCTTTCGTTTATCAATCACACAGACAGAACGACGACAACGACGAAAAATATATATTGACTCATTTCGATGTGCGTGTGTGCGTGTGTATGAGTGTATTTCAATTTAATACAATAATGGACTTTTCACATTTTTGCAAAAAAAAAAAAAACTTTTTTTTTTTGTCTTTTGATTAAAAATTTTGATGAGAAAATTTCTTCTTTTCTTTTTTTGAATTGCGAAAAAAAAAGCAATCAGAAACTTTCGATGATGGAGGCTATATTCTCTTGACTTTTGCATTTTTATTTATTTATTTTTTTCTGTTTTCTTAATTCTAGATGGGTAACGGTATAACAATAAATAAAAAACAACTTCCTGGTGTTCCACAACCACCTGGTGCACGTAAAATTGTTGTTATTCCATATCAAAAATGGATCTATCATGATGCACGTCGTTTTGGTCATTTTAATCAATTTAGTACCGATAGTGGTTGTGAAATAATTTCAAATAATAATAATTCAAATAATAATACAATTTTATCTGTTCTCCCTTCACTTTCATCAAGTTCATTTTCAACTCCAACATCTTTTGTATCAACATCATTATCATTAACAAATGATTTTATTGTACAAACTAAAACACAATTAACATCCGCATCTGTTCCTTCATCTATATCATTTTTAACTAATAAATCTAATATTCGTAATAATAATAATGGTAATCAAAATCCATCAGCATCTGCTTTAGTTGGTTCAGCAATGATTCTATCAAGTTCATCATCAACAGTAACATGTTCATCAACAATGCCATCAAATGATTCAGATTTTCGACGTTTAAATCCTAAACCAGTTTATTATGTTAATGGAAGATTTTTTAAAAGTTTAACACGTCTTGGTGATGCACAATTTATATTAAGTGAACATGGTGAAGATGATATTATATTAACAGTACCATCAAATATTGAACGTTATCGTACAAATGATAATACTGTACGTGAACGTATACATCGTTTAAATCGTGTTATAGCATGCTGTGACGAATTTATTGTCTTTCAATTATGGAAAGGAAATAATGAAGTAAGTTTAAATTTTTTTTTCTACCAAAACAAAAAATAATAATTTATCTAGGTTGAAATATTTGTATTTGATCGACCGATATTAAATGAACCATCAGATATAAAAATTTCATCAAAAAAATGTACATGTTTTCATCGACAAACACAACAACATCAATCATCATTAAATCAATCATCTGATCAAACAAATTCAACAACACGTATAAATACACCAAATCGACATAGTTCATTAATGCAAACAGCAACATTAAGTGCTTATCATACAAGTGAACCACAACGATCACCAATTAAATCATGTTCATTATTAAATGATACTGAAAATCGTTTAGATATGCAAAATGATGCATATGAATTTGTTGATAATACTAAAAAATTTTCATATTTAACCGGTTCAGCTCGATGTACATTGGTAACTGCTTCAGCTATTATGGCTGCTAATTATAATACTAACAATAATACTAATATTTCTAATAATACAATATCATCGACTATGTCGAGGATTCGATTTGGAAAATCGATCAGTCGGTGAGATATTTATAAATGTTTTTTTTTTGTCATATGACTTAAGAGTACTCAAAATTTTAGATCTTTTATGAGTATTGTGTTACGTTGCGAACACAGTGTCCAATCCAAATAGTATCGAGTACCTATTAAAAAAATACTTTCTGATCAGCTGTTCTTGAGAAACTTTGAAAAAGAGAAATAGGCGAATGAATTAAAATTTTGTTAGGATACAGATGAAATTGAACCCAATACTGATTGTTAGGTACTTTGATAGGTTCTTTTTTGTTTTTTGTCTCTAAGCAATATGACGGAATAAAATAATCATAATTATACACGATTCAAGGTTTTTGTATACTATAGATGATGAAAGAATAAAGTGAAAAATTTCATTTCGTAATTCACACATTGATGCTTTTGTTAATTACTTTCACTAGTAGAAAATTCAAGCTTAAACTCTTGATTAATATGCTAAAAAAAAATTTAATGTTGCTAATCTTTTTTTTTTTCATTTCTAATTATTTATTTATTTATTCAATAAATATTTTTATTTAGTGCAAAATCAACAAATACACGTTCATATTCAATATCAAATACAAATGAAGTTATAAATAGTAAAAATTCTCAAAATTTAATTCATGATTCCAAACATCGTTCAACACCTTATTTATCATCATTATCATGTAATTGTATGGATAATAATGATACTGTATTATTATCATCATCATCATCATCACCAACATTTTATTTATCATCATCATCAACATGGAATAGTCGTATTGTTCGAAAACTTAATTCTGTTGCACATCGTTTTAATGCACGATCTTATGCATGTTTAATATCACCAGATCGAACAAAATTATTAATTACACCTGATTATGAAGATAAACATTCATATAGTCATCAAATACATGAAGTAACAGTTATATTTGATATAAAAACATATGCTATACTTCGAATAACACCTGCTCGTAAGTTTACAAAAAAAAATAAAACAAAATATTTAAATTTTAATAAATTTTTTTTTTTTTTTAATTAGGTTATGATCAACGATTTTCATTTGATCCACGTTTTGGTCATTCACGTTTAGCAGAATTTGATACAGTTCGTGGTCAAATAACAGATATAACAAAAGATCGTGTACTTGTTTGTTCAAATCATACATTAAAAACTAAAGTCTATCGTGTAGAATATACTAATGATGGACATTTGATTATTGTTCTATGCACACGTAAGAATTAGTTTACTTTTCTAAATCTTGATTATAATCATCAAAAAAAAGAAAGAAAGAAGAAAAGAGCCTGAAAATAAATTCTATAGAACGATATTCCCTAATTTCTCGCTGACTTAAGATTAAACAACTATAGTTCATATCAGAGATGTCCATCGCGGTTGAAAACTGACCGCTGCCGCGCCGCGACGATAAAAGAAAAAAGCTAACGCGCCGCTACCGCACCGCGGTGATAGAAACAGAAAACCTACCGCGCCGCTGCCGCGACGCCACCAAAAATAACCATACCGCGCCGCTGCCGCGATGATTGTTAGAATAATGTTGTGAGTTTTACGATCTGTGACTGTTCAGGACTTGAGCTGTTGTTACCAATCGATAAGATTCGTTGAATCTCATAGTTTTGCACTTGCAAACATTGAAATTCTGTTCGAATTCATGCATTGTTCTCCAAAAAAACCTACCGCTACCGCGCCGCCACCGCCACAGCGGCAGCGGCGCGGTGGCGGTAGCGGCAGCGGTCGCGCCCCGATGGACATCTCTGGTTCATATACAAAAAAACTCTTTAATATCATTTTTTTTTGTTTTTGTATTTCTTTTAGTTCCGATATTTCAACGTGTTAAACGTAATTATTTTCTCTATATTCTTAATTCTTCCACATTATTACATACACGAAGTATTATCGATTATCGTGGTCCATTTTTTTCTCCATTTGTATTTACAAATGAATTTTCATTATTATTTAATATTTATCCATCATTATCAAATTGTGGTTCAACATTAGCTGTTTTAAAAAATATTGAACCATCATTAAATGTACGTCTTATTGAAGTTTATTCATTACCATATACATGTACAACATTAAAAGAAGTAACAAGACGAAATATTTTACGTTATGTTGATCGAAAACAAATAAAACAATTACGTTTACCTGACAATTTAAAAGCTTATCTAGCTTATAAACCTCAATTTACATAATTCAAAAAACACCGAGAAATCAAAATATATATATATATATGTATATAATGAAAATATTATATTTTGCTTTCTAGTCAAAATTTCATATTGACATATACATGTCATTCATCTTTTTTCTTTTTCCTTTTTTTTTCTTTTTTGTAGTCATTTTTGTTTGCAATATATTTTTCGTGTAATCCTTTTTTGCCTTTGTTTTATTTTTCCTTGTTGTCTTTTGTGCCAATGCTTCTTTCTTTTTCTTTGCTCTTGTATGAATTAAATTATAATAAAATATACCACATTACAAACAGATTAGATTTGTATTTCACCAATAATAAAATACTATATGAAAGATACTGATTGTTTTGCTTTACTTGAAGTGATCTTTATTTATATAAGCTGCATAAACTAACGGAATAATTTCACAAAAACAAAAGAAATTATGTGAATTCAAAATACAAACGATCTAAGTTTATATTTCAGTTGATTATATAAAAATATATTACACAGTGAATAAAGTCTTACACAGAGTAAAGTAAATTTTTTTTTTTGAAAATTCAGCGTTAATATATAAAATATTTTGAAGATTTCAATGATGTTTAACTCTGACTTTCTTTCATACATGATTCTAATATCCGAAAATCTACATTGTATGTCGATTATCTTCTCAAATGCAGAGACTTTATCATGAATTCGTACTTGAGATGACAAAAATTTATTCTTTTCCTATATGGAAGCAAGTCGAATAGTATGACAATTGTAAACGACCATGTAACGTCGTAAGTGACATTATCTTTATTATAAACAAACGTGCTGCGTATTCCTTACCTCCTCTATCATGCTGTAAGTATAATCAATACACTTTATTTTATAAATTAATTTATGACATTTCACTTAGTGTTATTGAGATGAGTTTAAATATAAAGAAAATATATTCTTTTTAAATTGATACTTATTTGGTGAATGTAAATTATGCCAACAGAAGATTTAAAAAATAGGTTTTACTAAAACAATCTCAATCAAATTTTACATTTTCAAATTAATCTAATGATCTTTGTATATGTTCAGATAAAATGATCATTAGTAAGAAACATCAATATCAAATACCCATAATAAAAATATCCAAACACAGATTGAAATTAAAGAAAATTTTTCATTTTTACAAATTAGTTATTTCTTCATTAAGATTTTCAGAAACAATATTTTGAAACTTGGTTAACTATTCTTGCCTAGCTGTGTTTTCGAATGATCACCAATTCATTGGCCGAAATCATGAGTCTAAAGAAAAGTCTTATAACTCTTGAATGAAACAAGCTAGAAATGTTAGCCTTGTGTAAATCGAAAGGAAAACAAATTTAGAATATCGTGTTCGAAAATCTCAATCTAGAACCTGCCTCATTAGTCAATTACTAAATCGATCAAATTTTAATACATTTCGATAAGATTCTCATCGATCATAATGAACTAGTACCTACTAAAAGGTTAATCTGTTTTTTCTATAGTTATAAAAATATGATACAGATATGCAAAGGTTGTTTGATATCAATGTATGAAATTCACATATACATGAATTCTCTATTTTTTAGATGTTTTGAAATCATTACTGAGTATTCCCGTTTAACTTGACCTGCTCTGTCATAAAACGAACAACTATGTAGAATTTATTGATGATATCTGTGTACTATACTAATTATTCTCAACTATTCTGGACGAATCCCAACATAGTTAAAAAGTGTTCAGATATATTTCTTCATAGTCTATTCATACAAATAACATTTGAGCGGTTTCATCAAATATCGTATATTTATAATAGTAAGACAAACAAATGGTTAAGGTCTATACACATCATAGATGATTGTGTAATTATTTTCATGTTTTATTTATTGATTAATTATAAAAAATACAGAAAGCAAAAGAAAATTTAAAGAAAAATAATTAGTTGCAGAATTAAATTGTATTAAATTTTGTGCAATAAAATTATTTGCTTCTTGAAACAATATTAAATCAGTATTATTGGATAAACTCATTTGAGTAAGTAATAATTTATAGAGTTGTACTGCTTCATTAATATTACCTAATTCAACATAAGCTCGAGCCATACCAACAATATTAATAGCTCGATTAGGTGCTGTTTCATTAGTTTTTTTAAAAAGATCTAATGCTTGTAATGGAAAATCAACAATAGATATTACTTTACTCTTTAATATATAATTTCCATTAATTAATCCTTGTTCATATTTTTTATGAATAAATAATAAATGTATTGCAAGTAATTCTGATGCACGTATAAATATTAAACTAGGACTATCAGTACTAGATACAAGAGTTGATTCACGTTTAACAGCATCATTTAATTCATTTAAACATTCTTGCCATGATTGATTAATATAATAACGAATTCCACGAATTTGAAGTATCATTATTGAAATACTAGTTGATACATATGGATATAATGAACTTGTTATATTAGAAAGATTATTTAAACGAGCAATATGTTCATCTATTTTGAATGTGATATTATTGTTATTAATAGTAATTAATAATCGAAGACATTCACCTAAACAATTATAAGTAATAGCAAAGAAAAAAAAAAACAAAGTATAATATATTTCTTCTTACTAAATCGAAAACCAGCTTCAGCCCATATTGAATACCATCGTTTAGCATTTTCACCAATTGAAATCATGGTTTGTGTTCCATTAATTGCTAATAATTGTTGTATTTTATTTTGAAATTCTGAATTATAAGGAAACCAATAAAATACTTCAATAATCATACGAGTTTGTATTCGATAAGCAAATGGTAAATAATAATTCATTGTTTGATTGGATTGATTATTAGCAAAATATAAATCCCGTAATAGATCAAGACTACCTAACCAATTACCTGTTTGTAAACGAGAATATGAAAGCCATTCCATAGAATGACCTCGATTTTCTCTATCACATTGAATAAGTAATTTTTGTTGAGTAGTATTAAGTAAATTCCAAATCTGTTCAAGTTGTATTGAATAAATCGATAAATTAAGAGCTAATATTTTCTTTGCACATAATCTTAAACTAACAATAATACTTTGTTCATCAGCTGATAAAGCACGATTCCATGAACCTAACGAAAATAAAAAGAAATGTATTATGAAATTAAAAAGAAAATAATACAATGAAAATTTTTGTTTTTTTTACCTATTCGAATCCAAATATGAGAAGGCATATGTTGTGCATGTGATGATGTTATTGCAATTTTTCCATATTGATCTGCATATTCTCGAGCTTGTTCAGATATATTCACAAGAGCAACATCATATGCATGTATAAGATAATGAAGTATACCTGGATGATTTGATTCATTTTTTAGTGCATCTTTTAATATATTTCTTGCTTCTATCATTTCCGGTGGTTCTATTTGTGATTGATATCGAACTTGATTAGCAACATTAAGAAGTGAAAGACCCAATAATACACGAATATCAGTTTCATTTGAATATTTTAGAGATAAATTACGTATCGATATTAGAAATGCATCTTCACCGGCTGTTATATTTTGGTTATCGGCATACCATTGATAAACAGTAGAGAACAGTTCTTGTTGAAAACTTGTCTTAGTTAAATTTTGAGTTGCATTGTATACTGCTTGACCACAAGCAAGATTAGTATATGACCATAATGCTTGTTTACAACTAATTAAATGAAAAATTTATTCTATTGATCTAACATGAAACGAAATTAATATACCTGAGCATTTTACCAATATGAGCTTCAATAAATGTAGAAGTAAGATTAATAGCCAAATCAAAAGCTTCTTTAGCTTCATCATACATAAATGAATGAAGACAAAGATATCCAATAGCAAAATGACGATGAGCTAATGAAGATCGATTAAGTGTAAGACCAAGAGGTCGTCGAATATCACCTATTTGTAAATAAGATTCCCATGGAAGAATTTCATCTGTGGTATTCCAGGATTGACTATGAATAGTTTGACCAAATATAAGAAAAGTAAGACAAATTATTAAAAACATTTCTTGTAATTGATACATCTTACGAAAAATATTATATTTATATGTACTCATCAGTTATAGTAATAACGAAATATTGTATACATATGTCAAGTTTTCAATTAAACAGTTGACTATGAAGTGTGAGCAAGAAGTTTTTATAACCTTGAATCTATATTACTTTATACGAATATATATTGTCTAGATCGGTAAATATAATAATAAATAAAGAAAAGATCACTTGAGTTTTTGACGAAGACATTCACACGTACATGCAAACATACTAAGTACCCACACGTTATTCATATAAAACCACACACTAGTGAAGCGAAATTATTATTTTATTCTCGTTTTTCAAACAACAACTTGTGATTTATGAAAGACACAACATTAGATTGAAGATGTTTACTTCATAGTTTATGATTGCAATAAATAATTGTATAGGTTTATGAAGCCTTTCACTATACACTAAAACAATACTATGTCTTACGAGGAAAGTCTCTCAACTTAACTATGAATATGCTCACAAGAATTCCTATCCCTATAGCTTATTGTTACGAAGATACGACATCTATACAGTATTTTTAAACCAATGCTGTGGTCTTCCTTCGAAACACTGGAAAAACTAATTTTCGAATTTCGACTTGAAAATTTTCACAGAAGTAGATTTTAACAAGTATAGTTTATTGTGAAAGTTTCAAATCTTTTGGTTTGCTTCTATCCAAAAATAAGAATATCGAATTTTCCAATCTATATGAACTATACAAAAGATACGTTTTTATCATAGCTGTATCTTAGTATAGAAACCTTGAAAAATCAGTTTTGCTGGCGTTTCTGAGGAAGACCATAGCATTCACATCGTCTCGACTCAAAAACGATTTACCAGTTGTAAGATTTTCCTCGTAAGGTGAACTCAAAACATTTAGAAAAATAATATTTTAGGCTTCTGGCCTTAGTGGTAATAGCTAGAACAAGTCAGAGAAAATATCTGAATAAATGAAACAATTTCAAGTTAATAGGGATACCT